CGGCAGCCTGCCGAGGCACAGACCTGGGTAATTTGTTCCTGAGCTCTATAAAAAACCAGGATTTAGGGAGTGGGCAAGCTGTGAGCCTCACCAGTCCTTTCTTGGAGCTCTTGGTCTCCTTGCCTGAGCTGGTGAAACTGCCGCGGACATCATGGTGATGCCAAAATGTGCCCAACTTCCCCTCCTGGGAAGCCGAGCGGGAGTTGTGTCACCAGAGTTGAGGTTCTCCAGCTATGTCCATCCTTTGATGGAGACCCTGCTTGGAAATGCCTTGAGGCTCTGCTCTTCATCCGAGGTCCCCCCTTCTCCTCTTCTTCCTCCCCAGAGCATTTCAGCATTGTTCCGTGGTGGGCAGTGGCTGTGGTCATAGGGCTGGTGCTGACCGTCTCCATAATCCTCGTTGCCACTTGCTGCAGGAGGAGGAGGAAGCGACGAAGGGAACCCCCGGAAGGTTTGTTCCCAGAGTTGGTGCAGGAGCTGGTGTAGATGGGCAGCCACGAGATTTTGGCTGCCCTCTGCTTTGCTGGAGGGCTGAAACCCCCTGATGTGGGGGCTCTGACCCATCATCCATCTCACTCCGAGCCTTCAAACTCCCCCAGGACACGCTGAGCAGATGCTGACCGTCTATGAGGAGGTGGGCAAAGCCCAAACCAGCCAAGCACCTGTGAGTGCTGGGGGTGTTCTTGGGCATCCCCTCCCTGTCACGCCTGGAGGGATGGGACCCCTGTTTGGAAATGTCACCCCGGATTCCTCTTTTAAGCCACACTGGGTTTGTTTTCTCCCTCAGAATCAAAGCTGTGCGGCCACTGTGGAAGGAAACACCGTCTACACCGTCGTCTGGCCCAGAACGCAGGCAAGGGTCAGCTCTGGGACTGGAGCTGCCCTGTGCAGCCTCGGGGCTGGGTGCACACACGGCAGCCACCAAAACCACCCCTTTTGCCAAAAATTTTGAGTTTATTGCACATTTAATCTGCTTTTCCCTGCCAGACACCCAACTGCCCTTTGGAGCCTGAAAGCTGCACCATCTACTCCAAGATTCAGCCCACCAAGAAGGTGAGGTTGTCCCAGCACCCAGGTTTGTCAACTGGGTGCTGCTCCCTCGTTGCCTCACGGCAAGTTCTTGCTGTTCTCCACAGTCTCCTTCTCTCAGGAGGAAGAAGTTGGATCGATCGTTGGTTTCCACTGCCTACCTAGAGGTAACAGGCACTGGACTGGTGGCGAGATGAGCTCTGGGTTTATCTTCAAAGCTCATCAGCTCTTTCTTGAAGGCTATGAGCCCTGAGTGCCTTCAAAGATTTTCCTTTAAGGCTATGGGGGGATTCTAGATGATGGTTCTCTCCGTTGCAGGACTCACCTCCGGTTCTTCCCTACCACCGCGTCTCCTAAGTGCCGTCACTGCTTTGGAAGACCTTCTCTTCCCTAGGGACCTCTTCTCTTGGGGCATCTGGAGACCTCCAGCACTCACCCAGCAAAGCTGAGGGCTCGCTTGGGATGGAAGCGACCAGACCCGGCTTTTTGCAAGGTTGAGAAGCCCAGCTGCACCTCGGAGGGCTGTCCCACGAGGGAAGGAGGAGAGGACTTGGTGGAAACCCGTCTTCGGAGAGGATGGATGTGGAATGGGGCGGTCGAGGTCATGGGGGAAGAGGACCCGTGTGATGTGCATGTGTTTAGTGGTATTTTTTTAGGTCTTGAGAGGTTCACTACACCTTGGGGCATTTATTTCGAGGTGCAAATACAATCTGAACTGCATGAGGCAACTGTGGTGCTTGTTGAATGAGCTTCATTAACTATTTATAGCCAGAAACATACCTGGGCCATGAGGAGGGAGTGGGAATCGTTTGTGCACTCTGAAGTGATGAGGGAGCCTTGCACAAGGATGCACTTTGTTTTGTTGGGGAGAGGATGGTCCCTGCATGGGCTCATTTTTTTACGCTGCCACATCCCTTCCCACCTGAGTGGCCCTGGGAGAAGAAACCTGAGAAAGAGGGGGCTCCAGGCTTCAAACATCTTCCCAAAAGCGAGATCAAGGGCTTTTTCTCCAGGATTTCAAATGAAACGTGGCACTTTGATGGCGGTGACGGCTCAGCACTGCTCCCCTCACCGGCTCAAAATTGCTTTGTGGCTGCTCCCTGTGAAATG